AGAGGCTCCAAGTGTACCTGCCCACAAAGTGATGCAAAATGCTTTATATATACAAATATATGTGTTTGTGTGTATTTGTAAAATATTGTGAAATATTGATTTTAAAGAGTAATTGATGTTTCGCTGTACTGATTGCTGGTGTTCAGCACACTATTTTAATTATGTTTGTCTGATTTATGGCTATATTTATGTAACTTCTTCTTTTTCTATAGTCTTAGATTTTCATGATTTTAAGTATCTCTTTATAAAGTATTTAGCTCTTATAAAATAGTCATTCTCTGCTTTGTTTGTGAATTTTAGAATAGGAATGATTGCTATTTGAAAATGTCCCCTAAACTCAGTTTATACTGTATACAAAGGATACCCTTTGTACTGTTTTAAGCTCTGTTGTTAATAAGTAGACCAATAACTGATATGTAAATGGTTCAATCGTTTGTTTTTTACTCAATATTAATAAATAACTATTGATTGGTTAGAACACATTTGATTGTTGCTGTATGTTAAAAAACATATAATATCAGAAACTGCAAGCAGAAGTCTATGGTTTTCCAAGTAAATGCATTTAATTGCACTGCCTGTCTGTTTCATTCTGACTGTGATCATCAAGTCATCTGTTATGCAACCTTCTAAAGCGTATTTACTTATGGGGAGTTTAGATAAGGAAAGCTTAAAGTAGGTCAGTGTTCGGAGTGTAATCTGCATGTCAAACCACTTAGAAAAAATGGAATCATAAATTGCATCAATCAAAGAGATTAAATACTTGTGAGGCCTTGACAGGCACCTGAAGCATGATCTGCAGGGTCTGTACAAAGGTTATTCATGTTCCATTATAATGTTTTATTTTAACTCTGCCAGCAGAGGGCTCAGAGATGCAACACACATCTGAAGTTGTTTCTAAAGGTTTTCTCTCGGCATTCAAAATGTCCCATAATCTGTATTTGTTAAATTGACTTTTTTCTGGAATTAACTGAGAAAAAACTCCATGTCCAGGTTGGACTATTGACTGCTGTAGCATACATGAGCCAACAATGCCATCTAGCGGTGTAATAAGATTCTGTCCAACGTTTACTTGAGAAAGGTCATGAGATAGTTGTTCCCCACAGCATCACACTGGGAGCATGTGATTCCAAATCCTGTGCAAAGTTAAACCATTTTGCAGATCTCTGCTGTGAAACATCATTGGCCACTGGTTATAGATCAAGTTAAAAGAGACTTGTTCATGGTACGAATGTTTTTTATAGATATCATAAACTTTGATGTCACAGATTTAATGGACTTCTCTGTATGTTGGGCCGCAGTGTTGCTGTGGCAACAGGGTTACTGATTGGAATCCCTTTCTCTGTACACATACATGTTCTCCACATGTATGCGTGGGTGCGCTTCAGGGATTCCAGCTTGCTCCCACCTTCCAAAAACATGCAAGTAAGGTTGATGACTTGGAATTGACCATGTGCGCAGTTATTTTCTGCAGGTTATTTTCTGGGGTTTTCGTGGTCGGGAACGCAATAGAATAAACTTCTTCGGAGACACGAGACCTGGTTTGTGGGTAGCCGACCGCCAAATACCGTTAAAATATCGCTGAGCCACTCCAGCGCTGGAATGATCGCGAGGTCATTGACACGTGATTTCAGACAGCCCCCTCCCCCCTCCCCCCGTGTGGAACCTACCTGGTGATTGACGTCACATAGGTAATTCTCTTCATTGCGTCAGTGTGACGCACGTGGCTGCAGAAGGTATAAAGGCTCAACGTTCCAAAGACCTGCACTTCAGAATCATTACTGACCTGAGCGCACGCACTGCTGTTTTCTTACTCCGAGCAAGATAAAGAAAAGAAAAAAAACACTTGACAATGGAACCAAAAGAATCCAACGCTGAAACCATCCTCATCACAGAGGAGCTTATTCATCCATTAGTTAAAAAACATTTAGATAATATCTCAGCTTCCCAGTGGGCAATGCTGGCTTCTGGGGAAATTGAACCAGAGCTAGAGGCTGTTATTTCAGGGCTGTTGACGGACATAGTTCAGACTGTGTCAACAGTTTTGCTGAAAATCTTTTTGCCAAAGATTCAACAAGTGTCCTCCGAAGACAGGGACCAGGCTGAACCATCTGTGCCAACAGTCAAACCGGACCTGGGAAATTCTTTACTTCAGAGTTTCTGCAACTTTTTTAACACTGAACAGGAAAACCTAGAGGAAGGCAAAGTGCTTACTGAGCTGGCAGAAGCAGAGATAGAAGAGAAAGTCCAGTCCTATCTTTCTGAGGCAGCTACCCAGGAGACTCTCCCATCTAAACCA